CGGAAACAATCGTCAAGAGCGGGGAAGTGGAACCCTCAGTATCCATGTTTTTCTCGTAGCTAACCCGAAACTAACCTATCAAACTCATAGTCCGAATTTTCGCCCTTTATCTTCTTGAACGGAAAACCGCGGCTTTCCTTCACTGCGGGAGGTATGCAATTTGAGCTACCTGGGAGTTGAAATAGTTGTACTTTGCATTTTTGGCTTCCTATTCATGATTCCATCGTTTCGACTACTTACGAGTCATCTCTCTAAATATATTTTGTATCTATTTCTAGACTTTCGACGAAGATAGCCAGTCATTAGACGAAAAACAGCGTTGATCTCTGAACCGTCGCTCAATTCTTAGATCGCGTCTTACTTACTGCCTCCCAATCGCCATTAGGCGAAATATTGTGGTCACCTATGAACCCAACTTTTGCCTCCCTCGATACACGGAAAAATTGAATTTCTGATTTAAGAATTCGATTGCTAAAAAAAAGTGACTGCAACGTTTCAACGTATATTTTACAACAAAAAAATGCTACTTTAGTCACTATCGTATGCTAATTTAACCATGGGGGTGGTTAAAATAGCATTTTTTGTTGTAAAATCTACATTGAAACATCGCAGTTACATTTTTTTAGCAATTGAATTATTAAATCAGCAATCTAATTTTTTCCGTGTGCATCTACCCAGATTGTGAGTGCAGAGTCCCGAGCTCTCGAAGTATACAGTCTCTGCGGGCCGAATATCGGAAGTTGAAAGCAGCCCGATACGACATCAAAATTCGATATATTGAATGGTTAAGATAGGGCTATGTTTTGTTTTTTCGTGCTGACACAGTTTCAATAATCGGCCCGCTGGTCTGAATATACCGAAATATTCAGGAATAGAGTTCGGCAACCGGCCGAGCTCGGCGTAAGCTGCGAAGCGATATAAATGCGAACCCGCGGATAATCCGGAAACGACGACAAGATCGAATGACCTTTCGGAGGAAGCGCGCACAGGTTGCGATTTATTTTTACGCCCCGCTTCCCGGCCACCGCACCACCCCAAAACGACGCACAGAAGACTAGCCGATCAGAAAAGCCGGACATGATGCGAATACTCAAAATTATTGTATCATCCTTAGTACGGAACTCAGAGGCTCAAAGGTGACTCTATTAGTTTTCTTGCAAAATTTCCTCCCAGAAGTACGAATGGTAAAATAATAAACGACTTTTTGTTTTAATATAGTAAATAGAATACAAAGTAACCTAAGAGTACATTTTAATGCCAATTTAGCTGGCTTTCATAGAATATGGTAAAATGATTGAAGAAATAATCGAGCTACAAGCCAAAAATAAATTAAACAAATCATATTTCAAACTACATAGAGATGATAAATAACAAAAACTTACTGGAAAAAACAAGTAAGTTTTTTATTATTTCCTCTTCTTTAATTTATTTTTGGCTTGTAGCCCGATTATTTTTTCAATCATTTTACCGTTACCTAAGAGATCGGTTAACATTTTTTGGTTGGATTTTTGTTGGGTTACATTGATCAAATCTTCGGGTTGAAAAACGACACCGCTCGGGCAAAGATGATTGGAAAATCCGAAATATTATGATAAAAACCGGTGCCAACAGGACGAATCAGAATTTTCTTTGGATGGAATTTTGTTTGGATCAGCACTCCATATTCAATCGCTAAAATAGGTTTTCCCGTTTTCATCTCTTTTGTTAAGAAAGTAGGAAACATACCATTAAAACGGTATTGTCCAACCGCGGCGCCTTGATACAAACTATACCTCCTCAGCGGATGTCTGTGTTGCATACTCGGAAGATTGAAGGCGTTTTGAGTTCCTTGCGCTTATGGAAACACGCCACGGCGCGCTGAGGCGTGGCATCAAATGTTACTATCAGTCTCGATTTTCCACCGTTATTACTCATCGTTAACGCGGTATTCCGCACTTTGTCTCCTCATGACGTAAAATGCAGGAGAATTAACCCCAGACTCAGGGTCGCCACGTTCAGGGAATACCGGGAAAACCAGGAAATGTCAAGGAATTTTAAAAACTCAAGGATAACCTGGAAATTTTAGGGAACATGGCGAAAATATCAAGGAAAAACTGTTTAGTCACCTTTATTTGGTTTTTAAAATGAGTTTAACGTTACGAACAACAAATTTTGCATAAACACTATTTCTAATTATGTCTTGTTAACCGTTCGGCATATCTTCAATTTTCAGGGAATTTCACCAAAATTTGGCGGGGAAAGCAGGGAAATGTCAGGGAATTTCATTATCGAGATTCGGTCGCAACACTACAGATTTTGCAGCACTGGAAAAAAAAACACATCGGATCTAGAGTCCAGACTCTTAAAAACATCGGCAAGAAAAAATACTTTTGATTCAATCGGATTCAAGCTTAAATCAAGAACCCAGCCTCTTAATTTGAGCGGATTTCCTTCTAATTTAAGCTTAAATCTCATTAGATCTGATCAAGAGTATTTTTTCTTGTCAATGTTTTCAAGAGTCTGGACTCTAGATCCAATGTGTTGTTTTTTTCCACTGAGCTTCAGAATAAAATTTAATGTCATGTCCAACCTCTTCCACGGGCGTGTCCCAGTGTGCGACGACGGTGCGACCACTCTGCGGGTTTTGCTGATAAAACTGGGGCCGTAATTATTTGGCCGCTCCCCCAAATCCCGAACGGAGGACGCCGGGTCCTTTATTTACTCTGCGTCGCAACACTAAGTCCCTGATAAAGTGGGTTTCGCTTCATGATCCGCACCGATTTTTTTCGCTTCTGTAGAGGGATGTTGCCGCGGCCGTCGCGTGAGGCCACACTGAAAAAAAAAAATCTCGGTGTATTTACTAGGAAAAGGGTAAAATTACCAAGAATTCAGGGTTCTATTTGATCCCAGTTTTTTCTCGGTAAAATTACCATTTATGGAATTGGTAATTTTACCAAGAAATCTCGGTAAAATTATTGAACTTTCTCGGTAATTTTACTGGACCTTGGTAAAAACGCCAATATTTTTTATCGACTGTAGTACAATTACCGAGATAAAATGGCGAAGTTACCGGGAATTGATTACCGATAAAAGTGGTATTCTTACCTGAAAATAAAAAACGGTAAAAATACCGGTTTTTAGGTAAGCTTACCAGTCTGTCTTGGTAAAATTACTAATAATTGGTAAAAAAAAAGTGAGTCGGTAAAGGTACCAACGGACCTTCGTAGAAACGCCGAGGAAATTTTTTCAGTGCAAGAAATACCGTTTGCGTCAATATTGACAAATTTCAGGATCGTCAATGGGTCATTTGCGCTGATCTCAGAATCGTGTTTTGACTCATGCTTGTTGATGAGCTATAAATATAATAGGGTCCACCCAAACAGCAGCTTTCTTAGTTAAGTATTGATCAAGATATCACGCTTTGAAAAATTCGGTTTATGACGTCATCCCCCGCGGTAGCGACACCTTTGGTTTCTTCCACCTTGCTTCCATCCGAGATTCACGTTGAGTAACCAATATAAACATGTGTCTCACTGATCTAGCAGTTACTGCTTCCGAACTAATAACTGCTGAACGCATGATTATGTTTAATGATTTCATCATAAGTATTTAATTTATTTTGAATAAAATCTTGATAGAAAGGGAAGTGTGCATACGATTATTCTTGCCGCGTTAACGGAGATTTTGGTCAATTAATAATTTGGTATTTTGGATTTTGGTAACTTAATAATAAAAGCAAAGTCGAAGAAACCAAGGGTGTCACTTCTTTGGTGGATGATGTCATAGACCGAATTTTCCATATCGCAATATTTTGATTAATATTGAACGTAGGAAGTTGCTGTTTGGACAGATCTGATTATTTTCAGATAATTTACAAGAATCACGCATCCAGACACGATTCTGTAACCAGCGCAACTGACTCATTGACCCAGTGATTTGTCCTCTGACGCAAAATATCACAGATTTCGAGAAATGAAACTGTAATAATCGCCCTTTCTGAAAGTGAAAGCTCGTTTTGTCGAAAGAGCGCGAGAAAGTTTAAATGAAATTAAACGAGACAGCGAAAGTGTATAAAGGCATACGGAAAAATGTATCCTCCATGCGGGTAATTTAATTAAAACGAAGATACAACGTTCAACCCCCCCCCCCCCCCCCNTTCCACACTTTACCGCATCTAATCATCCTCCACGTAACTTCAAACTGAGTTCGCTTACTCGCGGAGCTGGAGATGTGATTATCGACGAAGCACATTAGAGAAACCTCCCGAAGCCCCAAGTGTTTTGCGCTCTGAATCTAAAAATGAATTCGGGTTTTCTCTAACCTGCGGGCCGATTATTGAAATTGATAGACGAAGCCATAGAAAAAAAAGACAAAAGGGAGATGGAGGGATTCTATTGGTGGAAGCGGATGGTTGCAGTGGATAAAGGCAGTAGGTAAGAGACTAGCGAACCGAAACCCACGAGGGACCCGATAGCCCATCATGTTCTCTGTTAGTCTGTAGGAGTCACCCATTTCAACCAATAGGATCGCTCCATACTCCCTATGTTCTTTTTGTCTTTACCTTTTTCTATCAATTTCAATAATCAGCCCGCTAAGCAGATTTTCTGGAGAATTTAATCGCTTCTAGCAAAGCTCGATTTTCATGGAAAAATACGATTTTTTGAGGGAGAAACCGAACTGATCCAGAAAAAACTGCAATCATTTTCGGGAGTGTGTTACAAAGTTTTAGAGGTTATCCCTTAATATTGTGGTCCTGCGGCCTGCCCCAATTTGTTGGATGATATGGGCATTTCCAATTAAGTGCGGTAGTACCTGAAATATGTGCAGCCCGTGGCAAGATATATAATTATAACAATTTAAACAGCGGGTAGCAAGGCTAATTTTCACACAAATACCACCCAAACGTTTCGGCTGAAAGGCAGCCTTCCTCAGTTGGATGAAAAACAGTAATAAATTGTACAAATCTAAAAACGTAGTTCTTGGCTGTACCTTTCAAAGCGAAAAAAATGTTGCTGTAATAGAACGTACCGTTGTTTTGGTTATATTAATGTGAAAATCAGTCTCGTTACCTGCTGTTTAAATTGTCATTAATGTGGTAGTACCGCAACATTTGGATTAGTAACCTAATTTATTCGCGTTCTACCACATTTAATTGGAAATGCTCATAATCATCCATCAATCTCTACGTCTTTTTTCCGTGGGACAGCGCTAAAAGTCCACTCAGCTGTTGCTACCAACTTTTAGGCAAACCAGCCCGTTTTCACTTGTTTTATAATCCAACTTACCACTGTAGTCGCTTAAAAGGTTTAGACATTGACAGATTTTACCTTATTCGAATGTTAAAAGGGGGCTTTTATGTGTCAGGCAAGATAACCGAAAGTGCAATATTTTGCTTGCTCGCTTGCTCAGTCATACCTCCAACAAATAAGAGATGACGTTACGAGACAAGATTAGACGTGATAGAGAAGGTGTCATTTCACTCAAGATAGAAGAAGTACAACTCTTTCTCAGGTTAACACGGACTCACTGCTGTGTTTCGGAAAAATGTCAATATCTTCCACCTATCTTCCCTTCCCTTTAGTCCATTGAGTTGCTGAAGACAATTATATCAGACTAATAACATCATTCGACGACGTGCATGCTTCAATATGCACACGAAAAACCAAAACGCCTTCAATTTTTTGAGTATGCAACACAGACATCCCTGAAGGAGGTATAGTTGCATCCAGGCGCTACGGTGAGACAACACTATTTTGATTGTATGTAGTACACAGTTTTCCTATAGACATACGTGTTTTTCGGGATGAGCTAGGAATTGTAGTTCCTTATTGCAAAATGTAGCCTAATTTTCGTCGCTTAAATCGTGTGCAACGCGACAATTGGACGAGAAATAACACTGACCGCGTTAAGCAGAAAGGAACTAAGCCACATCAGCTATTGCCAACTTTAATCAGGCAATTTACTATATTTTACATGAAAACGGTTTTCTGGATTTTTGGGCAAATTTCAGTGAATTTTCTGCATAGTTCGAAAAAAATCCCTTACAGTTTTCAAAGGAATCCCCACAAATGTTCTCTTGTAAAAAATTAAATTGTCTAGATAAATGTGGCAGTAGATGTTGTGGCTTGGTTCCTTTCTGTTGAACTCTGTCCACATATCAGAATGCTTAAATTCATACCTTGTTTTATGATTCGTCTACAGACGGTATTAGTGCCATTTCACAGAAAAGCGACACATATAGATTTTTTTCGCATTGGTAGCTTTGAAAGAGGTTTTGCTAATGTCATTGTTTGGATCCAATTCGATATTATGGAGAATCCGCATGATGACGCGCCACACTGGAAAAAAAACCCATTGGATCTAGAGTCCAGACTCTTGAAAACAAAGACAAGAAAAAATACTCTTGATTCAATCGGATTTTTGTTTGAATCAAAACGAAATCCTATTCAATTAAGAGGCTTGGTTCTTGATTTCAGCTAGTTTCTGATTGAATCAGGAGTACTTTTTCCTGTCGATGTTTTTACGAGTCTGGACTCTAGATCCAACGTGTTTTTTTTCCAGTGCACTAATAGCGTCTATGATGATTCTTATATTTTAGGGAAAAAATATTTCAGTAACGCGGGAAGGCCAAAATTTAGTCTTTACCGTCTTCTTCGGTTACACGGCTGAGTAGGAAGTAAATTGAATCACAGGTGGGTAACGCCGAAGCGACTCCTGGAAGTTTCCAGCGTGTGCTCCGAGCGTGTGATTATTGTTTCATTGACGTCATACTAAATCGCCCTTTGTTTCGGCGTCTTTGTGTTTACCTACGACGAGCGTCGCTCCAGCAGCGCGGGGGAAAAAAGCGCCATGCAAAACCCAATGGAACTTGGACCAAGTTCCTCCAATCCTGTTTCGAAGACAACAATGCTCGAATTTAAACTGGGGCGCGACTGTCAAATTCTTCCCCGGCGACGGCCCGCCGCACGGTGGATCGAGTCAATTAGAGAGGTCGGCCATGAAATTTTTGACTAAAATTGCAAATTTCGACGTTTGATTTGTCACATTTCAAATTATAAGGGGTGTTTCTTATAGAAAATTTCACGAGGAAACTAATGGAGCCACTTTTGGAACTTCAAAGTTCTGTATAAACGGAGTTATAAGCGTTTAAAGTTTCCAAATTGTGTCCGACTTCTCCTATTGACTCGATCCACTGTGCGCCGGCAGCGGAGCGCGGGGCGTTTCCCGATCAGCCGGCAACGCTACCTGGGGGCTTTCGCCGAGAAACTTCGCGGAATCTGAACAGTTCCGAAACTTCGGTAAGCTGCTCAGGAAGGATTGTCAAACTTAAGGGAATATATTAGGATTCTGTAATAGCGCACGTGGATTACTCGACGCGGAGTGTCGGGTGTTGAGATAGCGCGGATCCTATTCGTCGAACCCTCGCAGTCGGGCAGTCGGGCATAATTGATTTGCCTCCAAGGTGTCCGGTGATGGAGAATCAGGCATACTAGAATAGGCCACCAGTAGAGGTCTGGGCTTTAAAAAAAGTCACATAGTCAACTTCCGATCAAAGTTTTACAACACTGAAAAAAAAGGTGCTTGGCTCAAGCTTTATAATTATTGAATTTGCTGCCAAGAATTCTTTGTATCTTGATGTATGCTTTCAGCTTAAATTGTCATATTAGCCGTGCACTGAGTTAGGTCTTTGATTTTTTACACGCTGAACACATTTCAGACCATAAAAAACCCGAAATTATATTTTAAGGGTGTTTTGGAGCGAGGCTGTACTTCCCATACTGCCGTGCCAAGGGAGAACGCCGTATGAATATTCAAATTTTCCCAAATTTTTCTCTCAGAAAATATGTACTTTTGAAGAAAGTTATGAAGTAACTTTTGAGAAGAAAGTTTTGAAGTAACCTTTCCCTTTAAACTTTCGGACATCTTACATCAAAATTTTCACAATTTTCTGAAAAACCAATAGAGAAATATTCACAATCTTTTCCGAAAATATGTGCTCCACCGAAAATGATTCGAGAACGTCTGAAGACTCATACAGCCAGTGGCGTGGCGCGCTTCGCAATACATCGATTGATCCGTCATTTAAAACTATACGGAGAAGGCTACGAAAAAATGGCTCGGAGATCCATAATATCTAACCAAAGTGACTTATCGTCTACTGTATGGCTTTCTGAGCCATACCTCATTGGTCGTGAACCTATCAGCATGGCTCCACGAACTATATTTTATGGCTTAATGATCCATAACTCGGCCGGTAAGTCACTCTTCCCATACTTGTTTTTTGAGTGAACAAATACTAAAATTAATAAAATAATTAAAAACGAAAAGTCATAAAAAAATGTTATTTGTTCTATAGTAAAACTAGCACTGTTTTGAAAACTCACATTAGCAACCTCAGCGGAGAAAAGCATGAAATAATTTGTGGAGAGGGCTACTTCTTTGACGTAGAAGAAAAACCCATCTTTTCCGTCGGATCTGCCTTTAGCTTACGTCACCCAGAGCGAGCCTTTTGAAGGCATAAAATCCTCCCGAAATACTCGAGAAAGGGCGAAGGTAGCCACTCTCGCCTCGTTACTTTTTACAGCCGACCCGAAGTAACTGCTAATTCTTCTAGGCGTAAAAAGGCGAGCAAACAGAAAATTCCCCTCCGCCGCGCTGGAGGATGAAACGAAAAGCACCCGAAAGCCCTGAACAGAAAGCTCGTGCCAATTGCCACTTGAAAATCAAATAAACTCGCGAATACCCTTAAATCCAAGAAGTTGATCCTACTTGACCTCCAAGCAGGGTTGCTGCATTGAGTCGTGAATACCAGACCCTTTTACCTCGGGGCTTTGCTTAAAAATCACCTGACGATGGACCGCTGTACAGGGTGTACCAGAATTCAGTAGCGGAGTTTCGCAAGGCGATTCTGCAGTTCAAAATGAGACTTTTCTCCTATGATGAGGGTTGAATGTCCTGTCTTGCATCTGATGCCCATCCTCCAATTCAGCGCTTTGAGCTATTTTAAAAGATTTTATTAATAAAATTTGTACAATATCATCATAATAGTCTCCAGTGTACATAATCTTGTGGGAATTTTAATTTTCGTACAAAGATCTATTGAATAAAAATTTAGAAATACAAAAATTAATTAGAAATAAACCGTAAAAGGAAGTCCACAACGCCGTAAGCCGAGATACTTTGCTTAAAAATCACCAGACGATGGGCCGCTGTACAGGGTGTGCCAGAATTAAGTAGCGGAGTTTCACAAGCCGATTCTGCAGCTCATGAGACTTTTTCCCCATAAAGAGGGTTCTGAAGTCAAACATTTTGAAGCTATGGCCCTCAGATTTTATAAAATATTCGCTTGTTTCCACATCAGGTAACTCCTCACTTAAAGTGCTGATTTAACCATTTAATTGCTAAAAAAAAAAGTGACTGCAATGTTTCAATGTGAATTTCACAACAACAAAAATGCTACTTTCACCACCTCCATGGTTATATTAGCTTGAGGGGGGGCGAAAAAAGCCGTTTTTGCATCAAGCTCTTTACATTCAAACAGTTCAGTCACATTTTTTGAGGAATGGACCACTAGACAAGATACGAATTTCAGCATTCTGATACATGCTTCTCAACCAAAATTTCACGTAGAACACGATGCGCACAACGAAAATGACCGATATTAACTCCTTCCGAAGATAATTAATCATTCTTGTTGCGTAAATTCAAACCACCCGCTCATGAAATCTCAATGATCTACGTGATTCGCATCGCGCGCTAAACGTTATCATGACAGTATCTGCGATTTAAAAATCTGACAACCTCAATTTTGACGCTTAGGCTCAGCTATAGCGAAATGCTTATAGTTTAAACAACACATGGTGGGAAATGAACATTGCTCGATTGAGAAGCTTGCTGAAACCGTTGTAGTGCACGGTTTGACTCACGTAGAGCTTTGAGTTTCTTGTGAGCGGGCAGTTCAAATTCCTCGTGACCAAAGTGAAATAAAAACGTAAATATCTTCGTTAGGAGTTAGTTTTAGTAA